GGGGGAAATAGTACAAGGCTTCAGTCAAGCTCGAGATCGAGACGATTACCATAGGTCCAGTATTGCTTGCAGATACTAAGATAATAGAGAGGGCTAGGTGCGGCAAGGGACAGCGATCAGGGTCTGGCAGTGTCTATCACTTTGTCAAGGCCTGCGTGTCCCCGCTGGTTGTGTTTCGGATTGAGTGGTAGTGGTGCAGATAGATAATAATGCAACTTCATCTCTTGTCCAGTTACCTACTACCAGAACACTACTAGCCGGGTAGTCTACTAAGTCTAACCGAGAGTCTAGACGGAAGAAACTGTCAGAGGATAATGGTCCTTAAATTACGACTTGAAGATTGGGATCCGGTGGGCAATATTTTTCGTATTGGTCTGTTGTTTGGCGTATATGAAGTGGTAGTCTAGGTAGGTCGAGTACTCGTCTCGTCGAGTCCCAACAGCAGAATTCCATCATGAAACGTCATCTCCCAGCCTCGGAAACCGTGAGCGTGTTCATTTAATCAACAATTGCATCAACTTCAATCTCCACTAACATCCTCTCATCAATAAATCCACCCCTAACGACTATCATCGTAGCCGCTGCCCCGACAACCCCCGGCTGGCTCTGGCGTCCCAGGATCTCGGTGAAGCCCTTCCCAACGGCGGTGCAGTCCTCATGACGGCCGACGAACATTCGCACCCGCACCACGTTCTGAGCTCCCTTGCCGCCGAGGGCTTGTACGGCCTTGATACATTCTTCAAGTGCCACGCGTGTCTGCTGGCGGGCGTCACCGGGGAAGAGAATCTGCGGGGCGTGGCTGGGAGAGGCGGGATCGACTGCGGTAGTGCCGGATACAAAGATGTGTTGGCCATGGCGGACAGCCCGGTAGTATCCGATTTGTTCTTCAAAGGGGGATGGTGTGGAGTGGAATTGTTTCAGGGAGGTGGGAGAGGCCATTGTGAGAATCAGTGGCCGTCGTCTAGTCTAGAAACGGCGTCCCGTATTTCAGGTTGTGATCTCGGCCAGCTTGAGTTGCTTCGTTGGCAACATTACCGGTTTTATACGCGTTGCCGCGCAACTAGCGTAGCTTGTGTGAGTCACAGGGCATCTCCCAAACCAATTCGAGGTTCGTGTCGCCCTTTATACGTGGACTGGACGTCTGATAGCAGACGAGCTGGTTTTTTCTTTTCCAATGTTATAGTTTCAGTGAAGGCTGATGGCCGTCTCATGAAGTGACCGACCGGCTTCGAATGTCTCCCTCTCGCCGGGTATGAAACCTCCGAGGCCGGTCAGTCCACGCCTGCAGGCGACGATTCGCGGCAAGCTTCGAATGTTGCTTCGCGTCGTCGGTATTTTTCAACGGCAACTGTGAGCAAGATGTATTCAAACCGATTTGGTGGGAGGGTCGAGATTGCTGCGCGTCACGCTGAAATCGAAAGTTTGCCTTGTACGAGGTGAAGGACTGCATGTTCTGCCGGTCTAGAGCCGTCTGGAATTCCAGACATTGCAGTACAAGCTGCTTGACGCCATCGGTGAGCGCGTTGGCCCGGTACTCAATCTCCGGCCAGCAATCGGGACCCCAGAATGGATCCTCCCGAACGGCCGTCTCCAGCGCCTCGAGCCAGAAATTAAAGCTGGGCAACGGCCGACTGGAATTGAGCAGGCCCGGGTTGAGCAAGTGGTCTGACAAGAGACAGGCCACGGCGACGAAGCGAATGGTCGGCTCTGAATGCAGGACGTGCAGGACGATGCAGGCGGGGCAACGTTCGGTCAAGTACCAATCATGTTCTTCGGTGAATATGCAATGCAGCCAAGCATAGGCGCTGCGCGCTTCCCCTCGAAATGCGCGCTCTGGTTCCGCTCCTTTATGGGCGGGCAAGATACTGGCAGCGACGCGAGACGCTTGGTTATGGAGTAGGAACAGCGGTAGCAGGAAGGTGTGAATTATATCCCGATGGAGGCGGAATGATTCCTGCTCCTCAGTGGAGCAGGAGTAGCGGTGGGAGGAGCAGAAGCTGTTAAAAAGACAACAGGGTCAGCGACAGCCCAGCTTATATTATTAAAGGGGCTTAAAGAGAAACGCACCATGGGGCTTCGAGGCCCAATTCCTGGCGTCTCAGGTTGTCTCTGACTGCCCTGAACGCTTCATTACGCGACAGCTTCTCGTCAGCAGCGGGGGAGATGCGAAAGGGGCAGATTGTGGACATGATTGCTGTTGTTTATCTGTTTATCTCTATCGATCGGTGGGCGAGGGCGGAAGGGGTTAAAAGGGTAAATCGCCGTGGGAGTCGATCCCGCACTAAGCTCAAGCAAGAATGGAAGTCGTCTACCTAGTTGTAGATGTGACGTCTGTACAAATGGCACCACCAGCGGAACCAATCAAGCAAACTGGAGACAGCGAAGCGAAAGTTTCTGTTGACTTGTCGATCGATGGAAGTCCCAAGGCTCGCATGGTCTGGAGGGAAGATGGGGGGAGGAACCGGGGGGAGGCAGAAGTTAAACGAATGACATGAGGATGGAGAGGTTAAGGAGAAAGGGAGGAACAATATAAAATAGAAATAAATAAAAGGCTGTCAAAATTGAATGCAGCGATGTCCTGTTGAATTTCGGGAGAATGGGGCGTGGGGGGCCACGCCGGTAGTGTAGTAGTAGTAGTATTAGTAGTAGTTAGTAGTTAGTAGTAGTACCTTAGGAGAGTATATTTAGTAGATATTACTTAGTACTGCCAGTGTAGTAGTAGGAGTAGGGGGTCAAAATCAAGATCCAAAATAAAGCAGCCGAATTCGGTGAGCAGACCCCGTTATCCACGCAAGCTTCTGTCGATCCTCTTTTGGAAATCTTCATCTCCGGATTCTCTCTTCACATTCACAGTCACAGTCACAGTCACACCGTAATTTGAATAGCCTACACAGATTCTCTTGCTTTTCCTTGACAAGTCTACCTGTCTTGTTGAAACACCCGCCCTCTCAGTCTCAAGGTTGCAGTCTCAATCCTCGTCTGCTCAACTGGCCTGTCTGCCCACTCCCCAAACTCTCTCCATTCAAACGGGCAAACTCTGCCAAGTTCCACTTCAATTCCAGCAGATCGCAATCAACTCACGTCAACTGGTGGAGCGCACTAGAATCCGACCAGGGTCTCGATCGTGGCCAAGAATTTAGTTTCTCCGACTTGTCGGTGCGTTAAATGACGGTAGCGGCGATAGCGCTCACTCGATCACGAAAAGCGAAAGGGGAGACCGCTGTTCCCGCTTGCTATTGGCTGAGAATCTGTCCGAGACCTTCTCTCAAGACCAGGATGCGGCAATCTCCTTGTTCTTGATGAGAGTCATTTTACAAGGGAGACCAACGACTCCGACTGCAGCAGATAGATTATCCCAGCGGCAGGTTCTTATTTCCCCCCGGCCTCTGTCGCGTGCTGCGTTGCAGGGCTGACCAATTCCATTTAATTTTTCGGGCCACTGCGGACTCGGTATGTAGTAGACTTAGGTAAGGTTGGTCGAGGTCGAGGTCCGACCGGATCTGGATTCTTCCATTTTCGTCTCTTATCGCTGGCGGAGTCTTCCGAACCAGAACCACAAGCTGTTTTACTTTTGCTTTTAAAAGTAAAAAATATTTGACAGGGAGACCATATACATCATGCAGACTGCACGAATCATGGACGGCAAATGGCAGCGAGACCATAGCGCCTCGTGATTATGAACCGTTGGTCCAGTCTTCCACGTCAGTTGCAGGTGCAGATATGACTGGCGCATTGTTACCACTGCTGCATAGGTTGTATAGTACAGTCCATGTGTCACCAACTGCCCTGCCTTGCATTCGCTCTGACTAGCAGAAGCTTGAACCTGAAATACTAGTTGTACTCGTGTACATGACTTTTGGCCAAATCTTTTACGCATGTCAGCTAGATTATTATTTGGGCTGCGTGGGATGTCCCTCTGATGGTGGCAAAACCACATGTTCTCCGCCTACGGACCTTACGCTGGGAGCGCCGTTCTAACGACCTGGAGCTTCGCCGATCTCCGTCACGAGAAGTGAGCGAAGAAGCCGATTGGCCACGAACCAGACCATTTGACAAGGGTCTGTAGACTGGTGTGAGTGACTGACGATGCATGACGGCAGGAAAAGGCATCAGTGAGTCTGGACTCTGGAGTCGTTGACAACCAAGAGCACCTTTGGTTTGTAATACAGGTCCTGCCGATATCAACGGTGGATTTTAGGTACTAAGTAGTAGGCGCAGACAAAGTCGCTTGGACACTGTATTCAGATTTGATTCAACATGTCAATTGCAAGAGTACTTTAGCATTATTATTATGGTATAGTATTCTAGTCCATCAGTAATACTGCCTTGATCTTCTCCATCCATGTAACTCCGGAGTTGCCGAGACTCGGAGAACTACTGAGGCGGGGTAGACATTGAAAATCCTATTTTCTATATATTACCAAAGGATTCACAAGAAAGATTAACATCGGCAAGATGGCCGAGTGGTTAAGGCGAGAGTCTTAAGTAAGCGGGCAAGTTCTTGCCTGACACTTGGAGATCTCTTATCGAAAGATGCGTGGGTTCGAACCCCACTCTTGCCATTTTTTACTCCTCTTCCTCCCCTACCTACTACTTACTTGTAGTGTGTGGTGTACCTATCCCGTGGCTGGCTTTTTTTATTGAGAGTTTTTGTTGCGACTGTATATTCTCCGACTGAAAGGAAAGGAAAGGAAACGTAGCTGACAATGCCATTGTTAACCTACCTCTGCAGTATATATTCCTTGGAATAATTATAATATACCTAATACATGGTCCGTACCTACATACCACAGCCTTCCGTTGCTTCTAGTGCAGACGGACTGTCCGTCCTCCGACTGACTCGGGAATAGACTCCATAATAACCTGATCTGGGGTCCCCTTTTCATCCAACCTTGCCAGACTTGTCTCAAACAATCGCGGCAACCCGGTCTCCTTAAACCCGACCCCATTGATAACCATCTTCGCCAATCCCTCCGCCGCCAGATAAGCCTGCGGCATGCCGTGCCCTGTGAATCCGCCGATAATCCATAGTCCTTCTTCTTCTTCTTCTTGTTGTTGTTGTTGTTGTTGTTGTTGTTGTTGTTGTTTCCCGGGAACCCTACCGACATGAGGGAGCCCATCGGACGAATAGCCCATGACTATCAGTAGTAGTGGACGTCAGCACTATGCATACGTAGCTTCAAAAGCAGAAGAAAGCATTGAAAAAAAGGGTGGGAAAAGATCAGATTGTGAAGAGGGAGAAAAGCCAAAAACATACCCCCCGTCCAAACCCGATCCGTGAAGGCACCACTATCCTCCCACCCCGCAAAAGATCGCTGCATATACCCATCAAAATACCTGGCCGCCGCCTCCAGCACCTCCCCATCATCACTGACTCCATACCAACTATCCGGCTCGTGCATAACGGCCTCCTTACCCCCGCCAACAACAATACTCCCGTCCGGTCTCGGAATCAAATAGTCAAATTTCCACTCCCCCTGCCGGATGATGTATGTCCTTTTCAGAACAGATAGGGACGGGCTCGGAGACACAACAATCCGACTCACTGTCCCCCGCACAGGGACAATCTTGTCCTTGTATACCGGGAGAAGGGAGGAGGTGTAGCCGTTTATTGCGACGACGACGTCTTTAGCGGCTATGCTTCCTCGGGAGCTCACTACCTCCCATCTACCGGTACGCCCGTCTCTCTTGTTACCAGGGGATAGCTTCGTGAGAGAAGTAACCACCGTCCCCGTCTGGAGATTCACCCCGCGCTCCACGGCTCTCTCCAGTAAGCCCATGACAAGCTTATACGGCCATAGATGGCCGGCAGTGTAACTGAAGCAGGCGATTGCGCCCTTGACGCCGGAGAATTCCTCGCTTGCTTCCTCCCCGCACACGAAGGACGTCTCCTTTGTCGCCGCGCAGCCGGCTTGAATCAAGCGGTCATAGCCTTCTTTCAGCTGAGCCGCGTGCGAGTCGTCGAGCAGGACGTCCACGGCTTCCGTGATGGAGAGGTCGCAGTCTATTTTCTCGTTTCGGACGAGGTCCGTGATCGCGGATATGTGCGCTGCTTCGAAGGAGGCGACTTCGATTGCGGCGTCGAGGCCGTGTTCGGAGACGAGGGTGGTGATCTGGTTGTACGGGTCTGGTTTTAGGTGGCCGCCTTTTTATATATATCTCCATTAAATATTGGTTTAGATTTTCCTTGCGAGGGGACTGATCTGAAATTGAGTTAGGGTTTGCTGAGAGAGAAGGGACGTACCGTTCCGCCCTGTTGCGCCGGAACAAGCCTGTCTTCCTTCTAGGATGACGATTGAGGGCGGCGATGATGATCCTGCTGTTTGCTTGAGGATGTGGTGCGCCACTGAGGCACCGGCGTAGCCGGCTCCGATGATGACGATGTCGGCTTCTGCGGGGAGAGTTGGGGTGGAGCGGTGGTTGTCTAGGGGGTGGGGATCGGTTCGCCAGAAGGGGGTTGTAGGGTTGGGGGAGAGGGATGGGGGTGACATTTTGTTGGAGTTGGACGACGAAGTGCGGAGTTATCCGTTTTGTGGGCTTTTTTTCTTTTTGGAGCTTTTACATAGGTAGGTGGTAGGTAGGTACTGGGGTACAGAGAGGTCCTTCAGGTATATAAGACAGGCAGGGAGCTGAGGGGTTGGGAGCTTTGGGAGAGCGGGGTGCTTTGCATGAGGCGGGGATATACACTTATATTCCTTGGGTGTGACTGGATGCAAACCTGGAGATAAAGATGTTGGAGAAGGATAGATATCTAGAGAATATTAATGGAGCAGGCGGGCTTGCCGTCATGCATAAGGCATGGGGTCTGTGGTATGATTGAATAGAATTGAAATTCGATCTTATGGGGATGGGCAAGGTATGTGAATTGGAGGTACCTGATCTGGCCAACTCTCTCCCCAGGGGACAGCCATGGATGCTTTAATATGATGAGATCCATCGTCAAGTGGATCGCTAGATGTTCGTGAAGGCGTTCCCAAGTTAACTGGCATCACGCTAACCCTAACTCTCAGTGGCATGGAACCAGCCTACAGTATCCAAGTACAAGCGAGTAAAAGGTTTGTACATGATCACCCCAGTCCAGATCAGCTGCAGGACATGAACGGGCAACAACATATGTAGAAAGGGGTTTAAAAATCAAGGGAAACAAAAGAGCAGGCGGTGGATTGAAGATTCCCCAAACCAACGCGATCACGGCCCCTGTGCGCCTTTCCCTTTTTAGTACTAGCATCTGCCATGGATCATGGATGGATTGGGAAACCATCGAAGGTTACTACCTTAAGGTACCTACAAAAGGAACCCCTCCCGAGACCTTTCCCAAATCTACACCCACCACCACCACCACCACCGTGCTTCATTACAATCCCATGTCCGAATCAAGCCTCCCACCCGTCAAAGATACCTGGCTCCGACGCAGCCTGACTCTCCTCGCAATCAAACTATGTAAAAGGTTTCGGACCCGGCTGTCGCAGGTTCTCTTCCTTACGGATCGACTCTGCGTCAAACACGGCCCCTTCCAGCACCTGTCTGAAGCACACGCCATGCAATTCATTGGCGCTAATACTTCCATCCCCGTGCCAAAGGTCCACTGCGCCTTTACCCGGAAGGGGAAGACTTACATTGTCATGTCTCGACTGAGCGGCTCGCCGATCGCCCATGGTTGGTCCAAACGGTCCGACGAGTCCAAAGCACGGCTGCTAGAGCAGCTGCGAGGCTATGTGGAGGAAATGCGCGCCTTGAGCCCGCCCGCGTCTCCGTCGGGATCGAGGTTTCCGGTGCAAGGCCTCGGCGGCTCCAAGCTTTACGATAGTCGGATATTCAACGGCGTACGCGGCTTCGGTCCCTTTGAGAGCATTCAGGAGTTCCATTCTTTTCTTACGGGCGGGATTGAAACACCCCCCGACCAACTTCCTGAAGTTGCTGAACTATTCAGCATGTACCGAGCGTCATCGTCGCGTTACGGGACCTGCTATACGCATGGAGACTTGTCAAGCGCAAATATTCTTGTCCGAGGAGATCGCGTTGTGGGGATAGTGGATTGGGACACCTCCGGCTGGTACCCAGAATACTGGGAGTACACAATGGCCTGCAACGTCAACACTTACAATGAGTTCTGGAGAGAGGAAGTGGACCACTTCCTCCAAGCATACCCTGAGGCGCTCGAGATGGAGCGGATTCGGCAAAAATATTTCTCTGATTTCTAAGGCGAATAATATGACCCTCTTACGGAACAGTCTCTTTATTTTCCAGCAAATCAAAAGTTGGGACGGTCCCAGGGGCCCACGATCCTGAACCGTCGTACCGTCGCTGCTGCCGCTTCCGTTGGATATAGCTATTCGCAGTCTGTTCAATCCGGGGCCAGGTCGTAATCCGGGTTCCCAAACTCTTCCGATCAGCCTCCAGAGCAGCAACAGCATTCTTCACCCAGATCCGACAGGTCCAGGATTTGTCATTCTGCACAATCGGCACCGCCGCCAGTGTTGAGCGGAGTTGCTCGCCATTCGTCACCTTTGCAATCAAGATTCGGCCAAGTAACATGCTCGTCTGGACAAGCGGGATCTCCAGCGGCTGATATATCCACTTTAGGCCACTAGGCTCGGCTGGATCGACTCGTTGTTGTACGTGGTATCGATATCCCCGATTGCCTTCTGCCTCTTTCTTGGGCCCGACAATGAGCGCCCAGTGATAGGTGTTCGGGTCTCCCCCACCTCGCGCATAAAGGCCGACGTATACACGGTCTTTGTTTCTGGATGACGGCATAGTGGAATCAAGTTTCCGTAGGAAACCAAAGAAAAGTGGCTGTACGTCCTTGTGAGAGTTATTTATACACTCATACTTGAGGAGGTGGGGAGAGAAAGCGTACGGTTTATGGTTGCCCTAGTTCGATCCTTGGATTTCTATCCTAAGCAGGTCCTTCGTAGCAGGATGGCACGACACTCAAGATTTGAGTGAGTAAAACAGAAAGCAAGCTCAGCTCTTTCCCTGTATATATAAGGGGGCTGTAACCCAGGTACGAACCAGTAGGTACCTTAGTTTAGTACTTGTGATGAGGAAAAGCAAACCTTCCACCTCCTCAGTTAAGTACAACTTTTTTTCTTTCTTTTTGGATTGGGTCATTACCTTAGGTTACAAGTCGAAGGAGACTGAAAACGGGCCATATCTACTACTAATATTAAGTGAGTACCTAGGAAGATACCTAGTACGTCGAAGATCCTCAGGTTGAAGCGTCCCAAGGTACTACCTAACTACTATAGCATTCCAAAAAAAAGCATTGTTGCGCGCCTACCTTACCTACCTACTACTTACGACCTCATCATTCACAGCTTGCGCAGACTGAGGATAGATAGGTAAAGTAACCTCCGATAAGTACAAAGGTTATAATCAGTTCTTCCGCATAGTGCTTACTTTTTTTTTTTTTTTTTTTTTTTTTTTTTTTTTTTTTTTTTTTTTTTAATTGGCGGCAACTGCAACATCACTGCAGCCGGGAGCGGCTACTTGGTGCATACTACTAAAGTACCTTAGGTAGTACTGGGTCGACTCAGTAGTTGAACCGAGAGTAGGTATG